TTTTTTTTCTTTTTATCTCTATTTGTTAAAATTAGAAATTACAATTGACGCTGAAGATCTCATTTGCTGGTAATTCAGATAATTTTTCTATGTAGGCATATGCTTTACGATTTTAATTGTTTTTTTTATTCAGAGCATCTACAATGTTTTTTGAGTTTATTCAATGACACATAAGAAATAGACTTAGTCAAGAAAAATATGTACTCCTAAGAGCATCCACAATGCTTTGGGTCTCTTTTTGCATATGTGGCAAATAAATAGACTTAAGTCCATAATGACATGGACAAACCCAAACTAAAAAATTCAAAATCTATCCAATGCAAAACAAAAAAGTACTAGGTCTAGAATACATGACAACCAATAAAAATGCTCTAATATATTTCATTTATTAAAAGAAAAACTAAATGAGGAATAAATGATGAGTGCTTGGGTTTGTACTTGGGTCTAAAATAGACCCAAGTGTAGACTATGTCTCATTTTTTTATTGCCACATAAGCTAAACTAGGTCTACATTTAATTGCATTGGAGAACACTTTTTTATAGACTAGGTCTATTTCTTACATGGCATGTAACTTTTTTCTAAGAGACCCAAAGCATTTAGGTGGTCTAAGTGTAAGTGGACCGGGTCTCGCTTATGTGGCAGCAAGAAAAAAAAAATCCGTTCTAGCCTTAAGTCTATTTTAAATCCAAGTAGAGACCTAGTTTCTTTGCATTTGAGTTAAATTTGTTACTTTTTTATATTTTTGTCCACGTCATCCAAGACTTAAGTTTATTAACTTGCCACAAAACACAATTAGACCAAAGCATTATAGATGCTGTTAATGAATTCAATTTTTTTCCCCATATATACTTTATTTTGAATCAGGAAGTTAAGGAATCATAATGGATATGGGAGATTCTCAACACTCCAGATTTTGGTAATTCCTAGATTTTGAAGCAATTGGTGATTAATTTACCTTGTGAATTTACTCGAAATAACGGTCCAAATTGTATATTTTTGGACAAATCACTTAAGCAATTTTTTTTTTTTTTTTCTTT